TAATTTTCATTTCTCTAATTGCTAGAGATTTTGAACTCTTTTTATATATTTGTTAACTGATCGTATTTCTTCTTTTGTGAAGTGTCTGTTCATTTCCTTTATCCATTTATTTTTGGGGTTATTTGGTTTTTTGGTGTTAAACTTTTTTGACCAAGTGAACACAAATTTTGAGGAAATGCTGTTCATCAATAAGTAGAATTAGGTAAAAAAAAAATGTGTTTCTTTCAGCAGGTGCTAATGTTTAGGTAAGTGGCTGTTGGAGGACTGCATATGGATTTGTAAGTTTGTTGATTCTCAGCTACTTTCAAAAATAAGTCCTTTCAGAACCAAATCTGTTTTCTCAGTCAGTGCTGGTGGTAGGGGACAAGCAAAGAGGCACAGTTTTGTCAAGGACACCCTTCCTTCAAAGACAGAAGGATGATGTTTCCCCTAAGATTTTCCTACCTCCTGTTCTGAAATGGTTTGTTGGCTTTAAGTACTATGGAATTTTGCAACACTTAATTTTTTTTTTGTCTTAACCCACTTCTCAGTCACTTGATTCTTGTTTTTCCATGTCTCAACCCACTCTGTGAGGCTCCACCAAGTACAGATTCTTTGAATCATTTTTGTTCCTTCATTCATTTAAAGATGAATATATAGAATGGGTTGATGGGGACTGGGATGGGGATGCTCATTGGCATGCATGCCTACCACTTACAACACCTTGAGTTCAATCTCCAATACACACACACACACACACACACACACACACACACACATCCTAGAATGGATTGCTGCACTTAAGATTTTGCAATTATATTGTGTCCTTGGTACCAAGTTGCATCCACATCTGCCCTCATGCAACTACATAGCTACAGAATGGGAAGAAATTCCCTCTGTCTCATCCAAATAATTAATTAATTTACGAAGTGCAGAGTAGGAAGTGTGCATAGGCTGGGAAACGTTCAGAATAGCCACTTCAGGGGACAGGACAGAATTCAGAACAAAATAAAGATTGATGTACCAAGGCAAAAGTATGAGTTATAAAATTTGAGGTCTCATAAGAATGGTTATAAAAGTGTATCTTCACCTTTTGACTTTCTGAGTCTGGCTTATTTCTTCAGCATGATGTTCTCTGGTTCCATTTAATTTCCTGTAAATGACATAATGCCACTTTTCATGACAGAGTAAAACATCATGGTGTATATATACACCACATTTTCTTTATCCACTCATCTGCTGACGGACACGTAGGCAGAATGTAAATGTTCATGTTTTCTCTCATACATGGAAGACAGACAGGAAAAGTGGAGAAAATGTAGCTCATAAAAATAGAGGGGAGACCAGTAATAATAGAGAGTGGGGACTAGCGGGAGAGAGGAAGAGAAAGGAAAAAGGAGACATAGGGAAATGAAGTAGATCAAATTTTGCTATGGTATAAATATGTCACAACAAAGCCTATTATTGTAATTCACGGAGGAAAACCTTTTGAATAAGTATTGAGAACAAAGCATTTATTGACTCTGGTTAATCAGGCAGCCAAAGTATTTTTTAAATGCTTTTCCCTGGTTGAACATATATCTATATGTTCATATATATGAACTAAGTGTGTATATTTTTACTAAGTGTGTATATATTTACATACACACACTCACTTAGTAAAGAGGACCATAGACATAATTATCCAATTAATTAAAATTAAAAGGTTTTTTGTTTGATGCAAAAAAAAAAAAAAAAAAAAAGGAAAGAAAAGAAAGTGTATCCTCAGCGTTCTAAGTAGAGACTCAGAAGGGCAGATTGCAGGATTGAGCCACAGCTGGCAGTGTGCCAATGAGGCATAAGGGATCTGTGGGCGAGGCACACAGGTGGCCTCCCGGGAGAAGATGGTGGGTTGAGTGACTGGAAAGATGTGAACAAGCTGAAAGATCAGGAACGAGGGTCAGAAAGAATTTAAGGGGAGGGAAAACATGGCCGGTTCAAGGGTATGAGGGTTAGATTTAGTCGCTCATATGAGATGCCAGGAAAGTACTGGAGTTGAAGAAACTGGAAGGAAACTTAGGGACCCTACCTCATTGATGCTGGCTTCATGTTCAGTTCAGTGAATAGTTACTACAGATGCCCTGTGCTGCAGGGGCTGTCTTGTGCCTATTTGACCTGCATAGAGATGGTAAGAGATAATGGGGTCAGGAAAATCAGTATAAATAGGAGCTCTTGACTCTCCAGGTTCAGTTTTACGGTCAGTGTTAATTTCCTCCTTGATCTTTCCCTGTTTTGGCAGCTTTATGGTATTGTTTCTTTCTTTTCTGTTTTACTGCTAAGACCTCACAAGTGTATCCCAAAGCTCTGTGCTGAATTGACAAAGTCTTTTAAAAAGTCCTTCAGGTTGAAGTCTTCCCCTCTCTTTCTCCTCTGTGTTTTGGTTCCAAGGCTGTTCTTCTGCCATGCACCTTGGCTCACAGATCACCCAGAAGGGCCAGGCCATCCTTGCTTATCAAGACAGCCTTTCTTTTTCTTTGTCTCAGCTCTCAAACCCTCTCAATGTTGCCAAGGACTTGTTCCTTCCAAGCCTTTTTATCTTCTTCCACCGTCAGCACCCAGGTTCACAGAAAGTTTCTTTGTTCTTTTATAAGTAGTTCTTTTCTCAAGAAATCCTCATTTTTTTTTTCAGGTGGTACCCTCAGTTTGTCATCCAGAAGTCAGATTAGACTTGAATTCTCCTTGAAGATCTTACCAGGTTTCAAACAGAGGCCTTGGTGTCTGCTCTCTTTAGGGAAGAGCACAATGACAAGCTATGGGAAGGGGGTGGCACAGAGACCAGCAGACGCTCAGCATACTGCTATTACACTGGTGATGGTTCTTTGATGGAAGGGTTGTGTGGTGGTTCTTGCTAGTGGTTCGAAGGGGAACCTCTTGGCCTTAACTAGTAGTAGCATCACTTCCACTGATGATAGATGTTGCCTGCTAGCCTGCTTTATTGAAGGTGTTCATCCTCCCTCCCACTGGCAGCAACTTCTGGGGTCCTTGGTGCCCCTCCAACACATCTTCTGCAATTATGCACTGCAGTAAAAGAGATTGTGCTATCAGAGCAGCCTAGTTTCAAATCACAATGTGGTACTATGGTTTGTTGCCTGATCTCTCTGAGTCTCAGTGTTCACATCAGTAAGAAAAGAAAGCTAATAACATTTTAGCTTATAGATATGTTATAAATATTAAGTGAAATATATGGAATAACTACTGTGGTATCTGGCGAAATAGTAGGTATGAAATAAAAGAATGTATTGGTAGCCTGGGAACTTGGTGTTAGTTTCAATTGTTCTTATAACAACAGCAACAACAAAAACACTTTCTCTTAAAATATTTTTTAACAGTTTATTTGAAGTTCCATACCCGCCAGCATCATCACCCACACTCTTAGCTCCTGTCACCATGCCTCAACAAAGGCTTCTAGTTCCCTGAGGCTGACTTGACAGCAGCCAACTCTCTAGTACCTGATTGGCTCCTTTGCAGGGCCTTCCTTGTAGAGATCAGTACAACCTTCAAGTTCTCCTAAATTTATAAGGCATTTAGCAAAAATCTTACATGTCTGAATATTTTGCTGTTGATGTATTATCAATGCCCTGTCTCCTTTGGAGTACTGAGGTACCCAAATAAGTCCAGTCTCACAAAACAACTCAATCTAGATATGGAAGCTATATTCTAATAGAAATTCTGGGTTACACTTCTGTGCAATCATTGTTTATTTTGCAACTGTGCTTGCACAATAACTGTCATTTTCAAGCAAAATAGAAAATCATTTCTGGCTTCAGGGCTCATGATCTTTTACAGACAAGACAAGTACAAACAAAACCATGTGAAATGTTATTTCCATGAATATGATGTAAAAAAAAAGTATGGGTGAGTTTATGGGTGATTCATCATGTCACACAAAACAAAACAGAATTTAAAAACCTGAATTCTTTTGCTGCTTGTTTCAGACCTCTACCCACTACATACCATTTCCCTTTTGGCTGCTCAGATTTTCTTACAGAAAAGAGAAAAGCTATGGAAAAATATTTTTAAAAATGCAAAACTCTCAGAGAAAATGGTTAAAAACACTTCATCTAAATATGCAAATCTAAAATTGAGATCAGGCAAAGGTTTGAAAATTCAATGTCTGCACTTGACTGATTAGAGCAAATGACACAAATGTTGATGAGCTCTAAGACAGCCAAACTGTTGGAAATCTAGGAGCACACCAGGGCTTCTTGATTGACAGAACCCTTTAGCTAATGGTTACACTTCCAGCCTGGCAAGGCAAAGAACCAAGCCAACTTCCTTGCCCATTTTATTTTAACCCGTTTCCAGTTTCCCCCTCTCAAATCACGCATTGTCCCAGCAGCACATCGTTAACAACATGGTTTTGAGGTTTTTTTTTTCTCTCCAAACATCTAATAATAAAATTGTTATTAGAATGTTTTATTTATCATTAAAATAAAAATATCCACTTTTGAGCCCTACCTTGTGCCCAGTCCCTTGTATTTATAAAGATGAATGAGACACCATCTGTAATCTCTAGTAGAGATGTGTAAAATAACTTTTTGAGGTGGAGGAGAGTAAGATATGTTTTCTTCTTCTTCTTCTTTTTTTTCCCTTCTATTTGCGGGGGGAAAAGGGGGAAGAGGGAGGAGGAGCAATGTTCAGTGAAGCCTAGAAGAGAGAGTGAGCAAGTTTTGAAACAGCAGCTCTGCAGAATGGGTAAATGGAAACAAAAGTGAATTTAAAACAAAGAGAGCAGATTAGCAAAGTCCTGTCATTCTCAGAGTGAATGGTAACTAATCTTTGTTGTTGCTGTTGTCATCATGATTATCACCATCATCATCATAGTCTCCAGAACAGATTATACTTGAACCACATAATCTTCACCTGACTTGAGAATATCCCTTTGAAGAACAGATAGTCATCCATGCTAGTTTTGTGCTTGTGGTGGGATATCGCAGGGTGTTTTCATCGATAGCATCCCCATCTCCTTTGTGTTTGTGTAGGTGGAGCCAGTGATACAGCGGGGCCATGAGAACCTGGTCCACCACATCCTGCTCTATCAGTGCAGCAGCAGCTTCAATGACAGTGTCCTGGACTATGGCCACGAGTGCTACCACCCCAACATGCCCGACGCCTTCCTCACCTGCGAGACTGTGATTTTTGCCTGGGCCATTGGTGGAGAGGTGGGGCTGATAATTACTGAGTTATAACACAATCATCATGTTTCCCTCTCACATAATAGAGTGCTAATAGTTATAAGTAAAGCTTTTCATACTATTTTTTGATATGAGAGTGGAGTATTTTTATTTTCAAAGGAAAGGATTCTTTCCTTAAGTCATTTTATTTGATCAATGATTGACTAATCTTGTTCTAAAAGGTTGAAATATCTTTGAGAATGTTTGGTTTATGAATGGAGAATAGCTCTCAGGGACTTTCAAAGGACACTGACTCATGGATTTTTCCATGTTTAGGGTTTTTCCTATCCACCTCATGTTGGATTATCCCTTGGCACTCCATTAGATCCTCACTATGTGCTTCTAGAAGTCCACTATGATAACCCGACACATAAGAAAGGTGAGTTCATTCTTCATATATTTTACCTATGAGTTTAAGAAAGTTTTATAACTTGTCTTTAACAGAAGTGAAGCAAAATAGCAACCAATATTAGAAAGAATGAACCTAAACGTTTTTCATCCAAACTAGGATCATTTTTGGAGTGAAAGGGGTTACTATCCATAATTACCCTGGGACAATAGTCATTAACCAGCACAAACCAGGCAAATGGGTATGTGTGGTCATTCCAATACCTATTAGGAAGTTCAGTAATAACCTTTTTTCCCTCTGTAATAAATTAGTTCCAAATATATGATGCTCATAAAACATTTTCTGTTTAACTATCCATATGGAAAAGCTTCCGTCCATCATATTAAAAATATTAAGCATTCTGTTATGTGGCAGGCAAGTCAAATATATTCAAGAACTATGTAGTGCAACTATGTCATGTGGTAGAGAGATAAGTGTAAAGACATGCATTTGATTTCTGATTTACTTATGTAATATTCCAAAACTAAAAAAATGATAAGTTCAATGTGAAATTGTCAATAGAAGCAACCTCTAGTAATTATTTTACTTTGATTTATGCCATTATTCCAAATACTGAGTACCAATATGCTATGAATTTGAGTTGAAGGATATCATATGAGTGAAAAACTCAGTGTCCCCACCCACATAGAAATTAGAGTTCAGTTGGAAAGAGCAATAATCAGATACTCATAGAAATTAATGTAAAATTAAACATATGTCATTTGATCCAAAAGGGTGGTAACTGGCACTCCAAGAGATTTAACTTGGTGGCCTGATCTAGCCAGGAGTATGTGGTGGGTGGTCTACAAAGTCTTCCTGGAATAAGAAACTTCTTAAGGCTGTAGGTACAAACTCAGTATTGTGAAGGAAGTCAATTAATTTCAAAGTTAGTGGAACAGATTTATAATTCTCCCTGCTCATAATAACCAAGGAGTGTGCCTTATTTATTTTTTAATCTTCACACTGCCTAATGTAGTACTTACTGTTCACAGTAGTAAATGTAATAGATGTAATACCAGTGTGTTGATTGAATGACTTAAAAACATAAGAGAATGGTGGCAAACTACAAAGAAAGTTAATCTTTAGTAGTTTATTAGCAGATGGATTCTAGCCTGAGGGATTTGTACCCCTAAGTAAATGATATTGAACTTTATCTCTAAATAATATGAAAAAAAACTTTTGGAGGGTTATTCTATGTTCTAATGAATGGCTGTAGTTTCTACTCTCTACATTAGATAACTGTGAAATAAATCAGCTCATTAACTCAAACATCTCTCCCTAGTTTGCCTGTGAGTTTACCAAGGTTGCAAACAATATGGCGACCCATGTTTTAATTTCTGTTGATGAAGCTGATTGCTGGGGTCCATTAATCTCTTCTTGTATTCCTTAACCTTGTGAGATTTTACAGAAAACGAGTGAATCCATTTCAACTGAATATAGAAACTTTCTTTTTAAGAATCCCAACTCACTTTTAATTATGTGCTTTTGTTCCAGGCTTAATAGATAGTTCTGGGCTAAGGTTATTTCATACAATGGATATAAGGAAATATGATGCTGGGGTGATCGAAGCTGGCCTCTGGGTGAGCCTTTTCCATACCATCCCTCCAGGGATGCCTGAGTTCCGGTCCGAGGGTCACTGTACTCTGGAATGCCTACAGGAGGTACGCAGTGTCCATGTCTGTGAGCTACTGTCTACATATTAAACAATGCTCTTAGCAACTATGGTGTGAAGAATTCCTTGCTTGTTTATTATGGATCTTTTTCTTGTTTGTATCTTGTAAAGCCATGATTGTCATTTCAGCATGACTTTAAACTGCCTTTTTAAATCTTAAAGGCTACAGGAGGAGAATTCAGAAGGCAAGAATAACTGCAAGGTGCTTTCCTTCCTACTCTGACCTCTTTGTTTCATATCAGACACTATGTCATTGCCACAATTTCTTTTGTGTCATTGTCACAAATTTTCCTTTGTTTTCAAAGTCTCTTTTTTCTTTCTCTGCCTTTTATTCACACTTAATTTTTCCATAATTCATTTTAATTTTTTTTCTGCTTTCCAGTTTCCTTTCCTTTCACCAAAGAGCAAGAGTAACTATTGTAGAAATACATATTGTTTAAGGAAAAACATGAATAATACTTATAATCCTTTTTCTTGAAGTATTTGAATATGGATCATAGTCGTTGTGAACTCTAAGATACTGCAGTTGTGGGTAGTATGGGAAATTGGTGAAGTGAAAAAATTATGCTCTTCTGAGCTATCTAGACCAAGATATATAGATATCTAGATATCTTGATATCTTGATCAAAAGACTCGAACTGCCATGGCAACATTTACTAGCTGTAGAACCAAGGGAATCTCATTCATTCCACTGACCATGCTGGTCTTATCTGGTAAAGTCGGGGGGCATAGAATCCTCTTTTCTAGAGTTCCCATTTTCAGGTTACTGGCATGCTAGAATCATTTTGCCAGGAGTGTTGACTGCCTCTTTGCTTCCTAAAAGAAGGTAAAGGAAGGATACGTTTAGGTGTGGTATGGTAGGTTCCCTTTCTTGTCTCCTGGCAGATTCGCTTTACAAAGAGAACATTGAACAATCCAGATTCACAATGCTTGGCAGCTCAACCATTCATTTGAATTGCCTTAGCTTTTCTTCTCAGTTGTCCCTCCAAGTATGTTTCAGGTGCACTGTCTGAACATGCACTTGTTTGGGCTCATCAGTTCTTCCTCGCTGTCCCCCGCAGGCTCTGGAAGCTGAAAAGCCAAGTGGAATCCACGTGTTCGCTGTTCTTCTCCATGCTCACCTAGCTGGCAGAGGCATCAGGCTGCGTCATTTTCGCAAAGGGGAGGAAATGAAATTACTTGCTTATGATGATGACTTTGACTTCAATTTCCAGGAGTTTCAGTATCTAAAGGAAGAACAAACAATCTTACCAGTATGCATGTTTTTGTTCTTTTTCACTGACTCTTTTAAAAGTCATGAGAACATTTATCAGCTGAGATGTAGCAAAGTTTCTACCAGTGAAATGAATTGCTCACCATACCCATAGCCTGAAAGCCACCCACTGTGGATATTGCATAACTCAAAGGGAATGTGTTTGATCTGCTTTCCAAAATCACAACTCATTTTTATTACTATTCTCATGGGAAATTCAAGTTCTTGATTTAAAAATAAAGAAAAACAGAAAACAACAATCAAATAACAACAACAGACCCTCAACAATCAGCAAAATCTGATTACTAAGCATGAATCGTTTTTTCTTGATTCCCTAGTTAGTGATTCTTTGGGTTGCAATTCTCGTAATGATGAAATTGGATTTTTCTTTATACTATCTTGAAGAATAGGATTTTTTTTGAAGTTTCATTTCAGTAAAAAAATTAAAAATGTAAGGTATTTCTTTCATTTTACAAAGGTATTCAGATGGTTAATTACACTCTGCTGTGCACCTCCGCTTGCAACAACAAATGAGGTTATGGTGGAAGGATAGAAGAAAATCTCACATCTTAAAACAGTGACACCTTTTTATTCCTTTAATTTTATGATGCTTCATTTTCTCAAATATATTATTCCATGGCCCTCAAGCTCAGTAGTCACATCATTTTCTACCCTTGATGCATTCTTAAAAGTCAGATTCTTATACAATTTTTATTAAGTGACTGTAACATTAACATCTTCTCTACATAATACTGGATACAGGGTTTTTAGATGGGGTGAACTGCCAGGCAAAGTCACAGCACAAGAAGTTGTGAAGGAAAAGGTGAAAAGCAGAAAAACTACGAAGAGGAAAAGGGACCTCGATATTTTAAGGATTATCCCTTACATCCAACCAGTTTTATGGTGGTTATCTCAGAACTTCCTAAATGGTTACATGAGTAGGATACTGACCTCTCAGTCCTCTGAGTAGCAGGGCAGGTAAAGCAAATCTAGGGGCTACTGCCCATAGATGGCAGCCTCTGCTTCAACGAACGGTTGTTCCGTGTTCCGTCCACTTTCCTGAATGAGGAGCCATAAATACATTCTGCGTGGGTGTTGTAAGTTCAAAGGTTGGAAATCATGAAAACAATAAATCATTACAAGTTCTGTTGTATGATAAAGTCATGACTACATAAAATGATGTAATGAATAAGTAAGCACAATACTTAGAATCTATGACTAACATTTCGTTAAATATTTAATCTCTACTAAGAACTAAACATGTATATACTTAGTTTCTCAGTAGCTGTGCAAAATCACTCTTCAGTTCCTATATAAATTATCCAGCTAGAATACTGTGGAGTCTGGCCTGATCTTCTCTTGAATCAAACTTCTAGAAGCATCCATTCATACAGCATGTATTGACTGTTGGTCTACAAATGAAACAGCATAAAGCTTCAGCCTGAAAGCTTTTCCTTTTATGTTTTAGGGAGATAACCTAATTACTGAATGTCGCTACAACACCAAGGATAGAGTCGGGATGACTTGGGTAAGAATGGTTTTATGATAATTAAAGTTCACTTATGAAGCTGAAGAAATAACCTTTGGTCTTTAAAGAACAAATTCAGAAACCATTTCTATTTGAAAAGAAAAGTCTGGAACATCCTAAAGGTGAAATCAGAGGTGATTTAGTTACTAAATAATGACTGATATTATGGTAATAACTGCAGTATAATTTATGGACTCTTTCATGAAAAGCTGTCCTTAGTCTTTTAGCTTCTCCTCACCAAGTATGATAAGACATGGGTCATTAACTGATGACTCCAGTTGGGAATTAGATAAATCTAGACTTCAAAGGGAAGAATGAACCACATGATCTCAGAGCCTGAACCAAAGAGAGATCCGGTCCCAATGGAGTTAGTGAGTAGTTCTGCTGAGCCTTCAAAAAGAGATAATTCATGCCTTGCTCAGTCTCATCCACAAAACACAATAAGACAGAATGCCTCCCACCAGCTCATTTTATGAACTTAGATTTGATATAATTCCAGTAAAAGATAATTTAGAATGTTTTCATGGTTTACAGCTTTTGGTATCCTAATTAAAAAATCTTCACCTAGCCACCTTCTTCTTCACCTTCTCCTATTTTTTTTTTTTATTTTTAAAAACTGTTTTTATTTTTAGCTTGTATATGGAAATAGTTGATTCTAAAATCTACTTAAAAGAGCAAAGGATTTGCAATAAGCAAGACTGATAAAAAGAACAAGATGGGAAATAAACTAACTAATTATGAAAGTTATTTTAAAGCTGTAGTAATTAGTACAATGTGGTTTAGATTCAGAGTTAACAGTGGAAAATAATTGGGTTTCCAAAAATAGACTCACAGACAGAGCATTCAGATCAATGGGAAAGGGTGGAATTTTCATTAAAGGATGCTGGCACTATTGAGTATCCATATGACGAAAATAAAATTGGGTCTTCATTTCAAAACAATACACAAAAATCAATTACAGATAGATTAAATATTTAAATGCAAAGAGCAAAATTTTAAACCATTGGAAGGCTGAGCACAGTGGTACATGCCTGTAATCTCAGCAACCCATGAGGCTGAGGTAGGAGGATCACAAGTTCAAGGGCAGCTTCAGCAACTTAGCAAGGCCTCAAGTAACTTGCAATGGGCTGGGGATGTGGCTCAAGCGGTAGCGCGCTCGCCTGGCGTGTGTGCGGCCCGGGTTCGATCCTCAGCACCACATAAAACAAAGATGTTGTGTCTGCCGAAAACTTTTAAAAAATAAATAAATAAATAAATATTAAAAAAATTCTCTCTCTCTTAAAAGAAAAAAGAAAAAAAAAAAAAGAAACTTGGCAAGACCCTGTCTCAACATAAAAATGTAAAAATACTGGTGATAGCTCAGCAGTAAAGTGCTCCTGAGTACAATTGCCAGTAGCAACAAACAAACCAACCAACAAAAATTGAAAGAAACATGTTTGAATATATCTAAATTACTTTTGAGTAGTAAAGAATTTCTTAAACAATGAAACTGAAAACACAAACCATAAATAAAAAACTGATGAATTTAGCTGCCTTGAAGCATTTTGTTACCAAAAGATACTCTTAGGAAAATGAAAAGACAATTTTTATTTTGAAAATAAATATTTTAATACATCGTTTTAACAAAGTATTAATATATAGCATATAAAAGAAATTCCATAAATCACTAACAGAAGACAAGCATATAATAGAACAGAGAGAAAAACAAAAAATTCACAGAAATTAAAACATGAGTAAATAATTCATATAGGAATATATGTTAAATTTTCTTTGAACATAGGGTTATGCCTATGTAAACAGGAATGGGGTATTTTAAACCCACCATATTGGCAACATTTAAAGTTGTATTTCTAGTGTGTCAAAACTGCAATACTCATTCACAGTTAATGGGAGTGTAAGTTTGTAAAATAACTGAGGAGAAACATAACATAAAAAAAATATATAACCTAGTAAAGTTGGAGCTTTGCATATGCTCTGCCTAGTTCTGTTTCTATGCAGATTTACCCTTGGGGTAACATTGGCAGAATGTATTCCAAGAAAGAAATATGTAGAATATTCATAGTAACATTTAATAATACAGGAACAAAAAAAGAGGTACATCTCAAATACCCATCAAAAGCAGAATAAATAAATACATTATTACATATTCCATATAACAAAATAGCATATTGTTATGAAAATCAGTTAAATAAAACTACACATGTTAACATGAATCTATCTGAAGAACACAGTATTGATTGAAAGAGCAGGTTTGCACAGGATACATGTAATGTGAAATGCATGTAAAAGCTCAAGAACATACAACATTGAACCATAGATTGTGTGGGGATACACACTTTAATAAATTGAATATTATGTGTAATGAAAAGCTGTAGAAACATAATATGTTTTGGAATTGGAAGGTACTTTTGCACGATGTTGGAGTCTTTTGTGTTATGTGTCTCAAACTTGGTGGAATGTATATTTTGCTAATTAAAATATCTCCATTTCAGGGAGGTCTGAGCACTAGGAGTGAAATGTGTCTCTCATACCTTCTTTATTACCCAAGAATTAATCTTACCCGATGTGCAAGTATTCCAGACATCATGGAACAACTTCAGTTCATCGGTGTTAAGGAGATCTACAGACCAGTCACGTAAGTGGTAGATGGATGTCATGTGGGTCATGTACTTCAGAGAAGGGTGGTCTTTATTCTTACATTGCAATCATTACCTGTTATGGAATGGAATTATTTCATGTACTGTTCTATTTGATTTCTTGTAAGTGGGGAGATCAGATAAACTTCTTGATTGCTGCATTGAGGATCTCCTGAACCACCCTCAGGTTCAGTGACTTTCTAGGAGGACCTAAAGGACTCAGCATATAGTGGTACTCATGGACAGTGTTCATTACAGTGGAAGGATACAAAGAAAAATGAACAAAGTGGAGGGTACATGGGGCAAAGTTCAGAGCAAACCAGGTGCAAATTTCCAAGAGGACTCTCCAGTAGAATTGCAAATTGCATCACAGAGAAATACTGAAAGGAAGAAAGGAGAGAAGCTCAATGAATGTTTTTAGGGGAGGCAGATATGGAGAATGCTGCTTAGGATATATTAAAGTTGATGTTAAAAAAGCATTCTGTCTGTTCTTGGAATATCGGTAAGAAGAATTGGAATAGTGGTGGAAATTTTGGCATGGTACGTTTTTATGTAAGAAAGAATTTTCTAATAATTAGGACTTTTCAAAATAAAAGGGACTGATCTAATTAGACAAAAGTATTCACAAAGATTTTCAGAGAGTGTATTTAAGAACAATAAAAAACAGGTAAAATGAGGATAATGGTGAAATGCAAATGGTTAAGGGAAATATAAATATGGTATCATTTTTTTCCCTCAAATTGTTGCAGGGATATAAATTATCAATTCAGGGCATTCTTTTTAAATTAATCATTCATAGATATGTTTTACTGTTTCTATCTAAACAACCCCATGACCACCAGAACAGAAGAGTTTGTCTACATTATAAGTACATACTTATGTAAATTGCTTTGTAATTTTCTAAGTGTTTTCACATGCATTGTTTTATTTAATTTATTTTTACACAATTCTAGTAGGTAGAAAGGACATTCAATCTGAGTTTTATAGAGGAAGAAATAAAAAACTAAGAGAGTATGGAACTGTTCAATATCATGTAATACTGTAAGAAATGGGAAAGTTAGGGTTCATACTCTGGTCTCTTCTTCATATCCATATCCATATATATAATAATTTTGTAATCAGGACATTTCAAAATGAGAATAATGTATTTAGTCAAAATCATACACATAATAACTTAAATATTAATAGAGATCAAAGTAGCACATGAAGTGCAATTCTAAAAATACTAGGTTATAATCTTGTTTTTAAAATATTTGTGTTTTTGTTTGTCTTATGGTGCCAGGGATCAAATCCAGGGCTAGAGTATGGTAGGAAAATGATTTATCACTGAACTACAACCCCACGCCTCAAATATTGATATCATATTGTCCTTTACTTAAAGGATTTTCTTTCTTTTTTTATTTTTTTTTTTTTAGTTGTCAATGGACCTTTATTATCTTTATTTATATGCAGTGCTGAGAATCGAACCCAGGGCCTCACACATGCTATGCAAGCACTCTATACCACTGAGCCACAACACCAGCCCCAAGAATTTTCTTTGTTTAGAATGCTTTTTTGCATATTAATTAGGAGCTTTTCCTAATCATGGGTTTATTGGAGAGAAAGTTGAAAAGGATTGGATCTGCAAAGCTATGTGTTTACAAGGTGAATGAAATGCACTCTGTGGCCCATTTTTTTTTTATGTTGGACTTGTGTGAAGCCTCTAAAAATACTTGGCTCCCATTTCCTGAAGAGCATTACCAGTGTCCATGACTTTGATCATCTCCAGGAAAGGCTGAAGTTGGGTTTCCATCACTTGGAAAGACAGGGAGTATTGTACCACAAAACACAGCCAGTTTTGAAACTGTCATTGCGGAGAAAAAACATTTAACTTTGTGGTTAAATTTTTTCTTTGAAAATATGAATCAAAAAGAACCTCTATTTTAAATAGCATGTTTAGATTTTTTAAGTAATGAATTTTATTTTATGGAGCAATTTTAGGTTGACAGCAGAATTCATAAATCATGGAGTTCCAATAAACCCAAACCCTGACACTCATAATTGCCTTAACTATCAACATCACCAATGGAATGGTGTTTGAATGAGACTTTCAAATATAGTTCATCATCATAGTGACATAAATGATCATGAAGGCCAAGCCAACCTGGTACTGGCTAAATGACCAAAAGAGAGAAATGAGTTAGGTGTTTTTTTCTATTTTGCTGAGAGTAATATTACTGAAAATTAATATTACTGGGCCTTCAGGATATAGTGTTAAAAAAGAATGTCATATAACACAAGACCCTAAATCTACTCTTAGTGCTTTAAATATCACAACTAATTAATTGCTTTCATCATCACAACTAACTAATTAGGTACTGCATTTTCTTTTCAACATTTTGTAGCAATCTTAGAATTTAGAGGGTGGATTGATAAAAACTAAAGAATAACATCTTGTCTTATTTTTATTGTCTGTTCTGGGGATGCAATTTTTCTCTGTCTCCTAACAGACCTGGCAAGGCATAAGGAAAATAAAAAAAAAAATCACAGATCAAATAAAAGAACAAGTAATGAATTTAGGTAAATTTTGTGTTCTCTGTTATACCAAATATTAACAGAGTATGAAGCTCCAGTGAGGTTTATGTGATGGAAAGTGTTATTGGTTCTAGTTCTAAAAGACAATTGAAAGACCTTTTTCTTTGTATTTGCAGGAGAATTACTTTGCATTTTTACAGTTTAAAAATCACACTGGCTTATTATAAAGAGCTCAAGTAATACAGAGGAAGTCTTTTAAAAGAAGGCAAAGGCCATCGCCTCAAATTCCATTAGAAATAAACATTGCTAACATTAAATTGAATGTTATTGCAGAAACTTTATATTGATATAACCATGTATAAATTAAATATTACCAAGGTTATGTTTGTGCATTGTTATAAACAAAATATTGAATTTTAATTTTGTCTTATGTACCCTCAGAAAGAGAAACTAAACTAAAACTGAACATTTGTTGAATTTGAAATAAAAGTTGTTGCTCTTATTGTTTTAAAATAAGAGATAATGTTTTATAATGGTGGTCTCAAATATTGAGGAAATAGATCATAAGAGACATTAAGAGATATCGGGCTTCCCTTTTTTGAATTACAAGTTTCAGTTTTAGGTCATGAAAGTTGAGGACATTTTCACATTTTCTCCCACCTCTCTGTTTATACCACCAAATACTTATTATTTATAATTTTTATATTTTCAAGATTTTTAGTTTTTACATTTAATTCTGAGGCAATAATTCCTACAATATTTAATTTAATATGTAAATATTTAGATAGAGTCCATGAGAACCCCTGAACTCTGTATTATTTCTATGTTCTGAGTTCGTTAATTTGAGTCCTCAAGCTTTAATCTTCTGGTTCTGTAATCAGAAAGAGTTTCTGGATGCTTTGAAACCCAAGTTCTTTCATGTTTGAGAATTTCTGCACTTTTATGTGAACAACATTTTGTCTGGATATAGTATTTGGAGGACATATTTTGTATCTCTGGGGAAATCACCCTGGAGGAAGGGGAGAATTCTTTTTTTACTGATAGGACTCATAGGTTAAATTGAATATGCTTAAGTGCTACGCATCTGAATCATATTTTCCTGAGACACAAAAGTGCTCTTGCACTACGTATATTCACTTGTTTTTTTCATTTCACAGAATTTGTCTTGTATTATATCTACATATAGTTTTCTAGCCTATTTGAGATTTTTCTCAAGCATTTTCTTTTTAAAAATTCCAGAGTCCTCTTCTGATTCTTATTTTTTCTAATTTATCTGATGTAAAATTTATTTTGTCTTAAATTTATTTCATTTGCTTTGCAGTCTTTCTTTTGATTTCACTGTTATTTTGTCATCTTATATTTGAGCTTTTAATGTAATGTATTCATTTTATGAGATAAATTTGAATCACGAAATACTTGTCATAGTTCTCTTTAGTAAAATTCAGTGGAATAAAATTTGTATTTTATTCTAGACTCAGTTTTTCCTGTTTCTTTATATTTTCTTTTTGTTCTTTTTTCCATGGTTGTCTTTTTTTAAAAATTGTGCTGAGGTATTCCTGTCCAAAACTACTTCTAAAAAATCCTCTTAGTTATCTTGCTTTCCATACCACAGTTTGAGGTTTGGGTGATTTATTTATGTACACATATTTTTATATTTTGAGAATAAAGGTTGTGTGTATGGGTGGGACTTGATATTAGAATGTGTGAGTTGTCTCTCTCAGATTTTATTAAAAATCTATTTAAAGAAGCTTGTAATCTGGTTGGGGCTGAACCATTTTCCATGGGGGAATGGTTGTCAAGTCTGCTGCAGCCCTCAGCTCAGCCCTTCCCTCTCCTAGGGAGACTCATTGCTCTGTTCCTCCAACAGTCATCTCTGCAGAGGGTGTGAGGAGGACTAGGAATTCCCCTTGTTGAGTCAGATCTTCCCGTTCCCTTCTTTACCAGAGATTGTAAAGTTCATGCATTGTATTGTGTCTCCTCCTTTTCCTTCTTCTTGTCTGCTTACTGATGATATGTTTTTATCTGTTTTGTGTTTATCTCTCATAGCCATATTGCTTGAGGTATAATTTACATACAATGAAGTCTACCTATTTTAAATATACTGTTAGAAAGTTTTTTGTCATATGTGGAACAACTTATGACCACATCACAAGTAAGACAGAGAGCATTTCCAAAGGTCTCTTATTCCCATGTAGAGACAACCCCACCTTCTACACGAAGCTCCAGAAGCTGCATCTGTTTTATTTTCTTTTAATATTTATTTTTTGTAGTTGTACAAATAACTTATTTATTTATTTATTTTTATGTGGTGCTGATGCTCAAACCCAGGGCCTTGCACATGCGAGGCGAACACTGTGCCACTGAGCCATAACCGCAGCCCCTGCAAATCTGTTTTATGTCACTATATATTAATTAGTTCTTTTATAAATTTTATATCATATGCACTCTTTTGTGTCTGGCTCTTTTACTCAGAATATTTGTGAGA